TTGATTTACCGCCAATGCTATTCCTATCTATATTTCGTGATCTTACTTTAAGTTCAATGGCTTTTTATGGTGTTCTGCAATTACAGACAATGCGCTGGTTATGCGTTTTGTCTCTGATTGGTGCGGTTGCCGAAGTGGTTACAGTGCAAAGCGCCTGTCCCGCTCATACATTCACATGTGACGATGGCTCATGTATACCAGAGGATTGGGTAGGAGACGGCGAGGCGGACTGCGATGACAGGTGAGCGGGGATTAGACGCTGAGGAGTTCTCGTTAGTCGAAGTCCGCAATTGCACAAAAAAGAATCCAACGTTAACGCTCCTTTGTTCGGTAATTCGCCGGTGTAGCCGTAGTTTCGTATTAGCGAATGCGGATCGAGTCCAAAAGAAAATCCATTGTAATATGAAAGTACAACTTTTAATGCGGATTTGCTGTGATGACGGACATTGTTTCAGATCTGACGAAATTGGACATGCAGCTGCTAATAGGACAAAAGAAGCGGATCCGTTCGACAGCATTGTCACGACATCACCGCATAGCCAGCCGGTTTCTAGTAAAGAACGCTATCAAAGTACGTAGTTGCAGATTTGCTACTCACACATTACCGCTGATTGCAAAAAAAGAAAACAAAATAGAAAATCCTATTTATTCAGTCTCGTTCGAGATCATGCACTTATTCGTAGTTCTATCGTAAATGAAAGTATCGCAAATTTAGATGCATTTGCCGCGAAAGACCAAAATAAGAAACTGCATCCCCTAACACCAATAAGGGTGCAAATACACACTATTCTGCTAGAACAATCACGGCAAAAATCCCCAGAATCGCACTAAAATTTTTGAAAATTTTCTCCTAAAATTATTGATCGAAACCAGCAATGTTTCCCTTTTTTAGCCACTGAAGAACCGAAAGATTGCCCTTATGAGCATCAACTGCGAGTGGATGAATGTGCCGAGCCGGTTCTTTTGTTTTTGCATGACGTTAATGCTATCTACTTTGAAAATTCTAGTCTCCTTGCGGATAAAGAAACGTAAGTCAAAATCAATAAACCAGTAATAACTTTATAAAAGCCTTGGTTAAAGGAATAAGATGTAATCTCCTTTCAAAATTCTCTTTTAGCCAGGTAAAAGTCGAAAAAGGATGCGAACTAATGCAGGAGTACACGATTTGCACGCAAGGTACATCAGCAGCATGTACACCGGATGAAGGTGTACAAGCCTGGCGCGAGGTAAGTGCAAACAATTACCGCACATAGGCGTATCATTACCGTAATCGAAGCAAAAAAAACTGGCTGGCTAATTGCGTATGTGCATAACCTGTATACTTTCAGTAGCCAATGATAGATTATTTTGCAAAAGACCATTGATTTTATTGATCGTTTAATATCGACGCTAAGAAATTTTAAAACTCATTTTAGGTGGAGATGTATGCCTGCCAGCTGCTTATCCCAGCCGTACGAGAACATCGTCAGTGCTTTGGTAAACCAAGGCATAGCAGCTGTGATGTGAGGTACTCGATCAATATCTACACATTGCATAGGATAATTGACGCTACATAATCTAATTTTAGGTTCGATCCACTTGCTTCACCATTTTGTCGTCTAGTAACCTCTGTCACTCAAGATGTTAACTGCCTTCAAAGGTAAGCTTTGTCAAGTTTTGGGATATGCTCCAAAATTTTTAAAAATTCAAAATAAATGCAAGCATCTGCTAATTTCATCGATTTATTCATTGCAATTACGAAATAAAAATAACTAGAATTTCTGAATGTTTCAGACATCAAGAAGGTTGTACAGAGGCAGCACTTGAGATGCTCGAGCCTATTTTGGAGGAATCCCAGCAGATTACCTCATCGCTTAGATGCCGCCCTCCAGGTGATGTTCCCGCTCCCGTTCCCACTCCTGGTTCCGCACCCACTCCCGCTTCCACTCCCAGTCCCACTTCTGCTGCCACACGCGAGGAAACGGTAGCTTTTTAGAAAATCGATATATCGATATTCCCTCTGTCTAGGTATTCTTTATTTAGGTTCAACCGACAACTGATATGGAAGAGATTGAAACCACGACCACGACCACTAGCACACCTACTAGTACTACTACAGCACCTCGAACACCACATCTTGTCACTCTTCCATCAACAACACGAAGAACAATTGGACCAGTTGTCCAAGAGACGCTGGCACCACATGAAGATTCTACTACAATAAGGATGCCTGTGGAAAATGTAGGACGGGTAGGCGTGAATAATCTTTTGACAACTACCATGAAAAATACTTTTCACAAAAAAAATATCTATCTACACACTACCTTTTTAGGAGCTTAAGATCAATATGAGTGATGCGGTTAATGCT